ATATAATACATTCATTGAAGTATCGCTGACGCTGTGTACCTGAAGAGCGCATGAGCATGAGCTCCATAACCAAACGGATCGTCCAATTCCATCTCCAACTCAGCATCGTCTTCATCGTGGTGTGCGTGCAGCAATGTGTCTACAGTGACAAATGAGAAGTACGCCCATGAGTGTGATGATTACCATAAACTTAACTCTAAGATACATGGAAGACGTACATATCAGTAGCGGCTTTGATAGTGTTTACCGACATATGAAAAGTATGTCCATGAGTACGATTGATAGAACCCTCTTCGACACATGAACAATTTACTCATGAGCACAAATAACAGAAACCGCTATGATAGTAACTACAGTGAACATAGTACAACTGCCACTAATCTCATAATAGTACCCAATATGATACATAAAAATCGTAACCGTGAGTATGGCTGTCATCTTACTACACAACAGTATCTACAATAACAGATACACATAAGCACAACTAACAGAAACCTCCGTGATAATGGTTTTGGAAATACACACCGAGTACAAACGACCGTAACCTTCACGGACACAAATTCTGCAAAAGTATACTGATATCTCTGCCGTGATCATTGACGCGACAAGAATAGAGACATATAGACGCGACAAGAATAGAGACATATACTCGTACACAAGGAGGTCATGCGTGTGCATAGAAGAAACCACCACACCGCACCAACCGGCCCTTGCCAATACATCTCCGCACTCACCCAAGTCCAGATCCAGGTTCACATTCATCTCCACACCCCCCAGGTTCAGATTGAGCTCACGCTCGTCCCCGGGCACTTCGACCACGTTGATGTTGTTGGTCAGTAGATCATCCATGATAATACGCGAGAAGGCGCTTTCCCCGGGAAAATCATCCATGCCAATCTGCTCGACATTCTCATTCGGCTCTGCATCGTCAGAGTCAGCCTTGGCCATTTCAGAGTCGTCTGGGGTTTGGTGGACAGCGGGAGAGGAGGTGGGTAAGTTTCTGATCTTCGTCTATAAATAGATTCTAATAGCAGACAGGGGGCAGGTAGTGTATACGAACCTTGGTTGCTCGAGACTATGGTCGTGCGTACTTCTGTATAGCCCACGATTACAATCGGCAAGCCACATAAAGTGACCGAACGTAAGTCATGTACACTTGGTTATTGTAAGTCATGTACACTTGGTCATTCTATCCTGCAAGCAATATTCCATGCACCTTAAAACAGAAATAAGATATATCTAGAAAAGAAACGAAAAACCACACACGCTAGTAGCCACCGCAAAGCAACGAGGCACACTCTGGCGCATATAACACATCCCACAGATTTGTATCATACATAGGTCTGCAAATGTGCATAACAGCTGCAAGGGATGCGACCGATCGAGTAACACGCACCACCTTTCGAGTGGATACTATGTGCTCAGGTATGAAGTGTGCCGAGAAGCATATACACACATCTTGTCAGGGTCTGTTATTGATATGCGCACAATATTTAAGTTCTAATAGATATAGATAGTACCCTACAATAGTGCAACGAGCACTGAGTTAAGCGCATCACACATTTACAAT